GCCATGATTGTTTTCTACTAGTGTCCAAATTGAGGTATCATTGTGGACACCTAGCCCTTGCTTTGAGGACGCATGCGAAAGTTACCCTTACGGTTGCTGTCATACTTTCTTCACTACTGTACGACAGCGGAACAACAACATTATAACGACAGCACAGTAGGATGTTTGACCGAGTTGAACGAGGCGAGATAGACGGGTGCGCCTTGGTGCACAATTAGCTAAGCCGGATAGGCCATGAAAAACGAATGGCGTCCCGGAACAATGTGTGTCCGGTCAGTTGAAGAATGGAGGTAGAACGGCCGAAACTCTGCTATTGCAATAGTCTTTAGGTGAGTTTCAAGAACTTCATTTCTGTTTTCAGATTTCGAAAAAAAATGTGGCACTTACAACAGTGACTTGCCGCATGCACAAACCTGGAAAGCTTTGAGACACAACGAATCTCAATGATCGAAAATAAGCGTGTCATTTGAAATGATGGTAGACAGTCAAGCAGAACCATAGCCTTTTGGATTTGTGCAAATCGTGGAAGTACCTCCTCGCGAAGAATCGGGCTTGATGCTTAGGAAACCATTTCTGACCAACATCTGTCTATTCCGATCCCTAACCAACGCCTGTCCGACCCTAGGGTTATATTCAACCAGGGGTTTACCACCTGACTATCTGTCCCCACTTTTTGAGAACTAGGCAACCGATACCACCGAATCCAGGTGGAGTGCTGTCTGCGATATTCCTCAAGGAGTAGTTCACCTTTTATGCGGAGGTTTCAGCGAGTATTGCCGGTTTGCCAATTTGACATAGAGTACGGACGTTAAGAGCTCCTATATAGAAAGGATCTGGTGGATTTAGAAAGATGTTATTTTGTTTAATGTTTGTAGGCAGCGAGGAGCCTAAGGCCCTTCGGTCAGATGACTGACAGTCAAATGGCCCTGCAACGTTTGCTTATGCGGTGGGAAGGGGTTGGGGAGGGACATCGGTGGACACTGAACTGCGCGGGCAAATGATACTTCCCGGTTGTCCAGGCCGAGGAAGGGGGTTTGGTTGAGGTACCCCACCTTGGGCCTTTGACTCAAAAGTCCACGTGCTGCATATGCCAGTAGACCGAATTCCTCGAAGGTCTCTTTCCTCTACCCTCTGACTCAAAAAAGGGAGAGCCAGAGGCGGTCAAACAGTGACTTGGCAGCGAAGCATGAAAGCCATTACCAGCAAACTCAGCTGCGCTGATCACTGCCGTCTTCCTGGATGGGGACCCCGAGACGGGCCACATCAATGGCTAGAGACATTGTCAGACATGACGCAGTCGCGCCTTTAATGGTACTTCTGCATCCAAGCTATTGCCTTCAAGGTATTGCTCCCTTCCCAACCCAACCCCCACTTGACAGTGTTGGATTTATGCACCAATTTATCACCTCCCGCCTGCAATGCGTAGCTACCTACCCCCCCTCAAATCATCGGTAAATGAAACTGTGGCAGTTACAATCACTGTACGACGAGTACGCGGTTATGACAGCTGACAATGATGATTTATGCGGAGGTAGACACTCTTGGGGGCCGTTTTTCCTTGGAAACCATAATCAGCATAGCCTCTGACTCACTATCAAGAAGTTCGCCTCTGAGACAGATTAATCCCCTGAAAAAAGGGAAACCACGGAGAAACGTGCCTTCTAACATTTACTGAGAGGGAAGTGTGGCTGCTCTTGGGGGGAACAACGTATGTAGTAGACCGGGAAATATTACAAAATTGCAAAAGTGACCGAACTCCTTGGGAAAAGCAAGTGGCTATCTTCGATTATTCTTGCGTTTGTACTACAACTCACACTGAGTTTTCCTAGTCTACATCAAAAGTTTTTGGCAGTATTGGATTGGTATACGTTGCTTTTAAGCGATACTTGGAACAGTTTCTGGCAGCTTCAGTGAATAGCAAACGACGTAAGCTCGAGATAACTCAGTGTTGGTTAAGGTATCAGAGTACGGATCAGAAGGTTCGTGGTTCGAACCCAACTTCAGCATCTGGACTCCAATTGTCTAGAATTGGACAACCTGGCACTGTTCCCACCCTCGTGCCTCCTCCAACTGGTAGCTAAGCACCGAAAGGGTGCTACAGCTGAAAGATTTATTTTAATTTTTGAACAACATGGTGTTCTTGTAGAATCATCAATGGTTAGTTGGTCTCATGGCGCGGTGTCAAGGAATATTAAGAGAGACTGGAGTAGAATTTGCTCTGCGTAGGCTGTTGGGTCGGGCGGGAAATCACGCTTACGTAAAAATCGACAGACATTGTTTGAAACTTTCCCGCCGTCATATACCAACTGCGGTTGTTCTGGCTACCACGTTACTAAGGTGGGTGGTGGAAGCGTTAGGTATTCACGTATGCATCCAACGGCGACGGCGGACAAATAACCGAAGCTTGGCTGCCCTATTTGCGCAGATTGGGGAGTCAACGCAAGCATACAAAGTGAGAATCCGGCGCAAACAGTGAAAGCGTATAATTACACTGGGCATACCAGCGCAGCGAAAGTGTCTGCGAAATCGGAATTGTTACGTCTGTCCCAAGTGTGAGCGACGAACTACATAAAGGTTATTCTGTTTCAAATAAGACATTTAGCACTTTCATGATGACACATCACTAAGGATAGGGGACTACTGAGGAACAGTACACCGGACCTAGTGTAATGAATCAACTTGCGCGACGTCCAAGGGAAATAATTGCTGCAATTCACTTGGACATTGTGTGAATAGCAGTACCGCCCGCCTTTCTCGATCCATTACATAAGGCTGTTGAAAACGCTTTGACAGTTCACTACCGTTTTCGTTCTTCTCAGGGTTGATCCAGTAAGTGCAGTCTCCCAGTTACGTGAGCAGAACTGAATGCCAACTTTCAAACAGACTTGGTATTAACTTCAGGATGTCTCACACGTTCGTTTAACTGCAGCACCCTTTCGGTGCCTAGCTGCCATGCCACCAGGAGGAAGCACGAGGGCTGAGATACTGCCAGGTTGCCCGAGCCTACAAAGGAGAAGTCGATAGGCAAAGATCGGGTTCGAACCACCGACCTTCCGGTCAGTAAATTCGCGCTCTAACCACTGGGGCTATCTCGCCTCACAAGGGCTATCTGGTGTTTCAGTCAGAGCGACACTCAAGATGTCGGAGCAATTTTTTCACCCAACATTACGTATGAAATGTTATTGATAACCCTTCGACAACTCGCTACCGGTCTGGTTGAAACTCGGGGACTAGACTTACCAGATTAGCCACAAGAAGGGCGACTCAAGTCCCAGCTTCGGATGGTGTAGTCTCAACGCCACACACAGAGCAACACAAAAATTTATCCACCTTTCTAAGGAAAATCACACCAAATAAACCTTGGACAAGCGATGCCATAGGATCCTACCCTGGCTCCAGTCGTATTCGTAACAATCTAAGCTAAAATCAATGGGTACCCCTGGTGTGTTCTGTGATAAGTACCTGGGATGATGACCAGTACTCCCAGCGGGGGCCCAAAGATGAAACTATCACTTAGAGCAAGCAAGTCTCACTCTGTTTTGTCCACTGCACTGTGGGCTCGAGCACCAGCCTTATACAGTAAGATATTTTCCGAACTTTCTAGTCAGGTTTTCCAGATCTTGAGCAGTTGAGAAGTCACACTTAACTAAGACTGCTCAGAATTACCGTTTGGTGCTCAACGCAGACGGGGTATTTTTTGACAAACGGTCAAGTTTGTGGTCTTCCGTGCGAAAAAACGCCCTTGCAGGAGGATTTGACTCCTGTTGTGATGGATAATCTTGCGAATAACTGATATAGAACGCCACTATGGGTTCTCCTGTAGGGCAACCTATCTATCGTAAATGAATACAGACTAACAAGGGGACAATTGAGTGCAAAGCTGGCAGCTCACACCGCCAGAACGCGTAGCCAGACGTTCAGATTACTCCCAAAACAGCCTCTCCGACAAAAGATCGCTTGCACTGGAGAGTCCATAACAACGTTCGTCCTACTCTATCAGCTAGAATCTAATGTGTGATTCTTCCGAAGAGAGATCATTACCAGAACAGGGAAGGCTCGCTGCTTGTTTGATAAAAATTCACGCAAAACATCAACCTAATAAAAAAGCGTTCAGCTGTAGCACTCTTCCGGTGCCTAGCTGCCATGCTACCCGGAGGAAGAACGGGGGCTGGGATACTGCCAGGTTGCCTAAGCTTAGACAGGGGAAGTCGAGAGGCGGAGGTGGGATTCGAACCACGGACCTTCCGGTCAGTAAATTCGTGCTCTTACCACTTGAGCCATCTCGCTCCATAATCACAGTGATGTAGGACATTGAGTCAGTAGCATGATTCTGCACCTCCTTTATTTGACTAGGATAATTTGTGTAGACAAGTCCACAGGAAACGAACCTTGTCACAATCATGCAGAATGGTGATCACGTCGGTTATCATGAACAGCGAGTAGCAGCGAGCTGACCTGCGGATGCGGAAAAACTAAACAGCCAATGGAGAATCTAGAATTCCAATTTCAACGTATTTAGAACTTGACGAAATTGTTTTACTCCCGAAAAAAAGTCGACAGCGAAAAACCACAATGCTGATTTTTCATCCAGTGACGCAAAACCAACTTACGCAGAAAACCTGAGTCACCATATAACTCAAAATCTGGAAATATCCTCACTATTGATGATAAATTCATCATAATTCATGCCAGGAAAAAAGGCCGTATGGGAATTCTCTGGGACCGTCACTCAATGAGCCAGGCAACACCAGATTACGTGACATCAGCAGCCCGGTTGGGGAATATCGTGTTGTACGCACAGTTGCTAATCAGAGTATTTGTCATTGAACAGTACAACGATACCACTCCAGTCCAGGGAACTGCGGGTTCGAATCCAACTAGAGTCACAAGAGATGAGCAACGCTAATAACTGGCGATAGGAATGCAATAATTATACACTGTTTATCAGTTATTTTAGCCTCACAAGGCAAAAGCTGGAACACACATTCGCAAAGACTCACCCAACCACACTTCTCCAAACTGTCCGGCTCCCAGCTGTTTAATGAGCACAATAGACGACTTGGGGATTTCCCAGTGATCTTTCGTACGAACGGACAAGTCTGTGGTGATCGGAACTGGACGTGGGCAGGGTTGAGTGAGGCGATAGCACAGCCCATTCGCATCGGTCGAATAATATTTGACCAAGTCCTGTAGGGAATTAAATCCACACTTTGCAGTGATGTAGTAGCAACTCGATACGTCCGTGTACTTGATTCGGTAGTGTTTCACTGTATTCGTTACACCGCCAGTGGGTCTTGGTTCCTCATCACGTACTGACAAGGTGAGTGCACCTGAGAGAGAAAGAAAGAAAGAAGTGAGGCGAGAAAGTCTGACAAGAGAGTAGTCAAGGGACGAAATTCTAGAAAGAAGGAGGCGAGAAAGTCTGACAAGAGAGTAGTCAAGGGACGAAATTCTAAGGAGCCATGATTTCGGCGTTGAACCAGGCATCAGAATTGGTGACGTAGGCTTGCCCGAGAGAAACTGAGTTGTGTGACAGATGGTTGTCCGCATGTAGGCCAACCAGAAAGGTGGGTTGCCGCCAGACAAAAGCGTGTGACGAAAACTTGGCACGGACTTCCTACCTGTCTCGACATGCTTGGGGTAACTTTCAGCTGAAAGCCAGGGGCGGAATGTGTCTGGAATTGCAATGTGTGTATGCATACGTGTGTTGGCTACCAGTGTAAGCAAAGTAGAATAAACGCCTTCCAGGGAGCCCAAAACATTCTTTTATCGGGAAATGTTTCCTCGTAGGAAAGTGAACAATAAAGAGCTACATCAAACGCTCTGTCCTGAGGTAACGAACTCTCGTCTCGTTTGAGTATTTTAGACAGTTTCCTTGAAGGCAACCTACAAACGTCGTCTAAATTCAACATTGATACATATTAGCGCCGCCTGATAGTCATCAGCACCTGCAGTTGAAGTGGGTGGGAACCTATGTTCTTCCATATACCAACAACTAAGTTGAACAAGTTATAAAAAGTTTCATATACAATCTTACCTCCCCGACAACTAACCCCTCCCTGGAATGAACTCATTTTGCACTGAAGACCTCATAGATGCTTCTCGGTAGCAAGCACCTCTTTGAAGAAGGAGATCTCGAACTTGGCGGTCGGTCGTCGTTAGCAGTGAAACATTAATGTCACCATCTCCGTCAACAACCGCCTATGATGAATGCGGACTTTACTGATGTTAATGAAGGCAGAAATGATAGAGGGGAAGCCGGCGATGATGAACCGGTTGCAACACTGTCATCATCATCAACATTAGAGATGACAACTTCGTGGTTGACATTGATGCTTCACTGGCGTAAAAACACAAGGTCTATCTAGTTAGACTTAAAGCTTTGGAATGAAAACAATGGCCGACGGAGGGGACCCAATGCTGGCCTACATCTCCAAACACTCAATCGAACAACCCTAAAACTGATAGCACGGGCGGCGCTGACATCGACCAGTCGCCGATTCCCATACTGTCTCCAACTAAGCACAGTAGGAGGGGACACTCCATCCTGGGAGGCGTGTCGCACCAGCGACACTCATACTCTTCTGCTAAGTCATACGTTGTCCAGTGTGCTGAGTTGTGGTCCAGGAATCTACTATACAGTTTACGTTTAGAAAAGAACAAATGGTACAGGAGGCGAGACAAAAAGGAAGCGGATTGAACGCTTTTTTTTTTAAAAAAAACAAGCGTTTTACCCTATGTATCGAGTGTCACTGTGGAACATTAAGGAGTTGATAAGGATGCTTCATACGGCAGTGATGCATCCGTGTCAACATCGCTGATGTTGCTGTCTTCGATGATGATGATGATAGGCTGCTTCCTCCAGAGGGACAAATCCCCTTGAGGTCAACGACTCAATTTTCCAAGCGTGTCCGCCCCTCGGGGGGAGGGGGGAACTAGTGGGGCAATGGAAACCTGATGATCGCACTTCCTTATCCTATGCTTAACCGATATTGCAAGTGTGAAACAATGCGACGCATGGTGCCGTGCGCGTACCCAAAGCCACGTTATCGACCAAGCTGAGCTGAGTTCACATAAGAAGAGGGCAATGACGTGCATTACTAGTGTTTGCAATACAAATTGTTGGAAATCAGTGTTCACTAATAGATCTGTGTTCAAGATACAGGACAGCTTCCGTACGGTTCCGATCCGATCGCGCAGTAAGTTTTGGTGGGTTAATTTCCTCGTTGCGATGGAAAAAATCGCCTTTATGCCAAAAAACGCCATCACGATCGAGCGGCTTTCCTATGAGGACTGGAACCATGAGGATATACGCAGCATCACTGATAGTCTGCACTAAAATCCAAAACGAAAAATATTTTGCGTCGTTGTAGAGGGATCACATGCCTGAGGGTAAGAGCTTACGTAGATTTGCCAATCAGTTGCCACTTTTTCTGGGGTATGGGGCTGTCATCCTCAGTACGTAAGCGTCCTCTCAAATCTCTCTTATGAGTTGACTTCGCTCCAGGTTGCTTTGCTTGGAGTGCCGCTGTAGAGCCAGTTCATTCGCGAACCGGAGGCAGGTTTCCCAAGGCAGGGAGAATTAGCACAGTTGGTCTCCGTTTTGTGGATTTTTTAAAATCACCAATGACTTCTCAATCAGTTCCAAGCGTTTTCCAATTGATTTCTTATTTTTTGCTGTATTTATTCACTAGTTCAGAATGGGACATTCAGGAGAGAAAAAATTCGCAGAAACTCGAAAAAAGCACTCTCTCCGTAGGATTTACAGTCCATTATGACAGCTTTACACCGCTGCTTGTGGGTTCAGTGGCCTCAATCAAGAAAATAGAAAAGCTTTATCTTGTTCAGTTTTATCACAAACACAGTCGCTTCCATGACACCCGGTCACCGTACCGTAGCACAAAAATAGAAAGGAAATGTATCTGAAAAATTGAATTCCCGTGGGGCGGAAAAAATCCGTCAGGAGTTTCGGGACCAAATACTACGAAAAATTGCTTTCGAATGAAAAAAAGGTTAGGATGTACCAAGCAGTCAGTTGACTTGTGCCACTAACAGCCTTCCCATAATCACAAAAAAACCGACCTTGTGACGTTTCGCTCTGTCGGACAAGAAAGGTGCCTCGGGGGTTGGAAGCCAACAGGAGCAGTCGTTCGGAATCCTTCCGCGATAGTCTTGGACTGTACCAACTGCAACAAGATAGAGGAAAACGAGGAACGTCATTGTAACCAACATTCTAACTAGCGTACGGGGTGCTAAAGCCCCAGGCTAGAGGAATAATTAGACAAAATGTGTCTCTTTCAACTGAGAGCGAAAACACAATAACATCGATTTGATCCACAGCACTAAGCCCATTGAGGTAGATCGAACAGAACTTGTAGAACAAAATCAAAAGTCATCACAGATAGCTAACGGCAACAAACACACTCTCCATTCCCTTTTTATTGACTAGAGGGGAAAGGCAAGGAAATGCACGCTCCCGGCGATGACCGGGACAGTCCGCTAACTACATAAACAGACATACGGATGAGCGAACGTGGCCAAAGAACAGCAGGCTAGACACGATGATGGTTGTGCGCTTGTTTCCTTTCAGCGAGGAGAAAAAACAACAAAATAAGGCCGATTGTGTGCCAAAATATCACAATTTTACCGTCGCCTGGTTACCAACTCACCTACAAACAGCTCATTGTTACGGACAGGCCTTTTTGGCACTGGGAACAGCTCACAGTGCATGTCCAAAAATCATTCAGAAAACCGGACAGTTTGCTCGCTGAGTAAATACATCCTCGTCAGATGGCGTAAAATCGTTTTCTCCAATCATGAACATGAGACTCAGAGCCCCGTCATTCATCGCTCAAAATCGTTCAGTGACTTACATCAGACAGTGAGTACGTGAGCTGTAACCAGAACTCCATTTGCTCTTGCCACACTGATCCAGTGGGCTTCTTGAGGCATAGAAGGGTGGGAGAAAAATTTGATTTACGTAATCAAAGCCATAATTAAATGTCATCCAATCATCCAGGATGCTAGAGATCGGAGTTTTGAGCCTGTATGAGAAAAGAAGACTGACCGGCGTTTCCGAGTCAGCGTAGTGCCGGGTCCAGATCAATTTAACGCAGATGCAAACTCTATTTCTACACCAGACGGGGACTCAAGTGGGTAGCCAGTTTATCCTATTACGAAACAAACGGTAAGGATAATGTTTCCATCACCACCGTCAATGTAACTCGAATCGGGCAAGAGTCAAAAAAGTTCAAGGCTGATGGGGAAGCCTGGGGATGTACCTAAGGTTTCCCTGAGGGCATGGGAAACATCGATCTAGTGTCACCGAGCCCAGTAGAATGAGATAGAGTCAGTGCCAAGTCCCGGATTGTGGGAGATAGATTGTTTCCTAAGAGTATCCAAGATGAGCTTGACTCGCTCGTTCCGGAAGATCAGTATTCATAACGCATGTCCAGACTTCCAATAAGACTTGACTGCTCCGGGAGCTACATAATGAACATGCAACTAGTCGTGTCAACTACACCGTCGGGTGTCGTACACACCAACCATCACCAGGGAATCTTGGGATGGCACCACTCGATGTCTGTCGAGAGTATTGTCCCATGCGTTGTTGGACGCGGATCAACACCATCCAGGTTCTCGTATGTCCATTCGACTTTACCTAAACTTTAGTGTCATAAGACAATGGCGCTATCCCAAGGATGACGGCCCTAGCACACGTGTCCAAAGTTACGTGCGTCGAGACCTCGTGGCAAGTTATCCCGCTATCCTCGGGACATCACACACTGTTACACTTACTTTTGAAGCTGCATCGATGTTTGCCAAGGCTCAAGAGAACGGCAGAGCGACAGCTCCTGAACACAGTAAAACATCCAGATCCTGAAAGCGCGCGAATGGATCAAACGGAGCGTACATACTTGTATCGAATTATCACATCTCACATTTCTGTCAAGCTAAAAGTGGCTCAGAGAAAGAATCAGCTCACAAGGTCGGCGAAACTTCTATCTGAGAAGTTGCGGATCGAGGAGCCAGTCAATAGGTGACCAGGTCACTGAAGGATAAGCAGCACTAACTGAGAGCTAATCACACTGCTCTTTAGCTGCTCGAGGCCGAACGGTTGAGTGGAATGTCGCGGGTTCAAAACTCTCCGAGTTTCGTGAGGTGCGCATTGCCGAAAATTCCCAATAGGGGTGAAACAGCTGTACAGTGTTTCTCGGCTTTTCAGCATAGAGTGGCATCGATCGCAAAACCTCCTGACTCTACGATTGTTCTACGAAGTTCCTCCAACCATGTGCTCAAACTCAATCACCTGAGGAACCGACTGTATGACTTCATGGGCATAAGTTGTTCATCAATAGCCACACGAAAGTCGGACAAATCAACAGCTTGCCGACTGAT